TCGTCTGGCCAGTCAGCAGCACAGGGGGAGGGTAAAAAAGAAGAAGTAACGCGTCAAGGAGAGATCCCACTAGTCAAAGAAGTGTCTTTGGTTTCACTCGGCTACAACTACAGCAGACCCTATCTACTGGTGAGCGTTTGTGTGTTTCACTCCATAAAAATAGAGACGTAACATGGAATGAAAACAGGGTTTAACAAGACGTTTTCTCATGTTCTAGGTCCACGTGGAACAGGAGCTTCTGATCTACGAAGCGTTCCCGTACGACCAACAGCAGCCACAGAACAACCTGAAAGTGCGCTTCAAAAAGGTAAGAGCCGAGACCGATGAAGACGAATTACCACAAGTGAAATATGAATGAGGTGAATGTTAACTGTGCTGCTCGCACTACGCACAGGTGCCCCACAACATTAACTTCAGGGAAAAGAAATCCAAGCTGAAGAAAGATAAGAAGGCAGAGAGCGGTGCCGCCGAGGAGACTGCAGCTGTGAAAAGTCGGATTGCCAGATTCAGATACTTTGAGGACATCTCTGGATACTCGGGGGTGAGGAGGCCATTCTCTTAGAGCTTCACGTTGTTGTGAAGCGTTGCATCCCGTCACGTACTCTTGTGATTAACCACATAAAACATTTTGTGGTTTTCACAGGTGTTCATCTGTGGTCCGTCTCCTCACTGGATGCTGGTCACCTCTCGTGGGGCCATCAGGCTTCACCCCATGACCATCGATGGCTCCATCGAGTCTTTCTCACCATTCCATAACATCAACTGCCCCAAAGGTTTCCTCTACTTTAACAAACAGGTACACAGAGGACGCACTCTCACTTTAATAGTGTAGGGGTTCTCTTCTCTGTCAACTCCACTATGAAGGGAAACTCAACTCTTATAAGAATTAGAATCTAGAGACGGTGAAACACAACAAAGTGCAGCTTTGTTATTCTTTCATCTAGTTTCTAGAAACCTTTTCAGTGCGTGTGTGTGTGTGTGTGTGTGTGTGTGTGTCTTCCCGCAGGGCGAGCTGAGGATCAGCGTCCTGCCCACCTATCTGTCCTACGATGCTCCATGGCCGGTCAGGAAGATCCCGCTGAGGTGCACCGTCCACTACGTCTCCTACCACGTGGAATCCAAGGCAAGGCTCCCCTCACTGTGCCCACACAGCACCACAGGCAGCGACATGACACAGATTCAAGCTGAAACACATGCCCCGGACTCTCACACCTCCGCCTGCATAACGGCATGCAAAATAAAAGCGTATCGATCGAGCCGCTTTGAAAAGTTCGAGACGAAAGCCCTCTGGCCTTAAAGTTTTCTTACTGCGAGAGGGAAAAGAAAATCAATGCGGGTGACTTTGAGGGGATTAGTCTTTGATGTGAACTTTTTGGCTTTGTTCCCTCTTAGGTGTACGCTATATGCACCAGTGTGAAGGAGACCTGCACACGCATCCCCAGGATGACGGGAGAGGAGAAGGAGTTTGAAACCATAGATCGAGGTCAGACATGAACACATACGCACCCGTAGAACACTATGAAAACTACATGTCACGATTATCACATATTCCCAAAATAGTTCACACAGTGTTTCTGAAATAACTCCTGCAGTCAGTAAACTGAGTCTGTGAGTCAGTAAACTGAGTCTGTCTTCATTTGAGTCATTACTGTTGTTTCTCCTGTTGTCACTGCAGATGAACGTTACATTAACCCGCAGCAGGAGAAGTTCTCCATCCAGCTCATCTCTCCAGTCAGCTGGGAAACCATTCCCAACACGCGGTAAAAGAAGTTCTCTTAGAGGTTTACCAGTTTGCAAAGACAAATGTAGACAATTAATTTCAGTCTCAGTGAGGGTCAGATGGAAATGTCAGGTCTGCATTTTAATTCCACCAGATTCCACACCAGCAAAGTAAACATCAGCAGGTTTAGTGAACACCTGAGTCGTTGGTGTCGTCAGTCAAGTTAACCTAAACCAGGCTCTTTTCTTAAACCTAACTCTGTGGTTGTGTTGCCTAAACCTAAACCTCCTGTGAAGATGGAAGTTTATTTTCAAAAGACACTCTGCATGTCACGAGTGGAAACTGACACACCGTCTCTGACACGTCCACAACTGTTTCTAGAGGGGAACCAAAGCGTCCTAGTCTGAAGCTAAGGGCAGCTGACCGAGCATAATGTTTGGCTAGTTGTGAATGAGTTGATAGACATTAGACAGTGATAGCAACTGGTAGCTAAGACACAAAACAGGCAATGGAACAAAAGAAGAGGGGGCGTGCAGCATAAGTTAAATATATTTGTGGCAATGACGTAATACATAATGTATAATCTGAATTATCAGACAGGAGCACCGAAGTAGTAAACACTGAACAGCTGTGTGAATGTGCCTTCTCTCTCCGTTTCCACCAGATACGACCTGGACGAGTGGGAACATGTGACCTGCATGAAGACGGTGGCTCTGAGGAGTCAGGAGACCGTGTCCGGGCTGAAGGGCTACATCGCCGCCGGGACCTGCCTGATGCAGGGGGAGGAGGTCACCTGCAGGGGCCGGGTGAGCAGCTCACACCTTTACCACCAAAAAACGTCCTTCTCACTATAACCCACACGGTGATCAAAATAAAGCCGTCTTCTCATATGAACTCCGGGTCGGGACATTGTCCCGAGTTTCCCCTTTTACACGTGTAGCACGCAACAGGAGACCGTCGGTGTTGGACACATTCTCACCGACTGGAAATACTCCGCTTGGTCGTAGGGGCGGCGCCGGAATTTACGCTAATACACCGCAGCCACATAGCTAATGTCCCGTCCAACCGATCCGGACCGTTGCGTTCTCACAGCTCTTCTGAGTGCGGCGTCGCGGTTCATGTGAGCAAAAGGAGGAATGAAAACATCTGCTGACGGCTTCTTGTTTGATTTCTTTTGTTCAGATCGTGATCCTGGATGTTATTGAAGTGGTGCCAGAGCCCGGCCAGCCGCTCACCAAGAACAAGTTCAAAGTGCTGTATGAGAAGGAGCAGAAGGGGCCGGTGACGGCTCTGTGTCACTGCCATGGCTACCTGGTGTCGGCCATCGGACAGAAGGTCTCACCCCGAAACTCTCACATCACAACTTTAGGAGTTCACACAGCTGGAATCAGAAAAGGTGTAAATATGAAGGTTGTAAGCTCCTCCGTGTTCCTGCAGATCTTCCTGTGGGTCCTGAAGGACAACGACCTGACGGGCATGGCCTTCATCGACACCCAGCTGTACATCCACCAGATGTTCAGCATCAAGAACTTCATCCTTGCTGCCGATCTGATGAAGAGCGTCTCGCTGCTCCGCTACCAGCAGGAGAGCAAGACGCTGTCGCTCGTCAGCAGGGTGAGAAATACTTTCCTCGGTGTCTGATGTAGCAGAGATCGTTTCCAAACAATGGAGTGTTTATTGATTCAGAGGTACCAGTGAGTATTGATGGTGCGTCTCTGGAAGAGAAGAGTGCAGCTCTTCAGGGACTGAAGCTGTCTTTGACGGGATTTAACAGTTTGTCTTTTTGTTTTGGCCACAGGACGCGAAGCCTCTGGAGGTTTACAGCATCGAGTTCATCGTGGACAACAACCAGCTCGGATTATTGGGTAATGTTCGTAATGCCCTCGGGAAGCAAATTCAATCAAAAGTTCCCGTGTTCTCATTAACCTTTTCTTTTCCTTGTAGTTTCCGATCGAGACAAGAACCTCAGCGTGTACATGTATTTACCTGAAGGTATGCAATGTTGACAATGTGCAAATGTGAAGTATTTTGGTTATTCATTCACATGCAGTTGTGTGATGAGCGCTCTGTGGTTGCAGCTAAAGAGAGCTTTGGAGGAATGCGCCTGCTGAGGCGAGCCGACTTCAACGCCGGAGCCAACATCAACACCTTCTGGCGGATGCCGTGCAGAGGCGCCCTGGACACCGGCAGCAAGAAGGCGCTGACCTATGACAACAAGCACATCACATGGTTCGGTAAGTGGCCACGATGTCGGAGCCAACGGAAGGATTAGAATCAGTCAGCCAGCGAGTCTCCGACGGAAAACAGATCAGGCGACTTCTATGGTTGGATGTAAATCTAAGTGTCACTGGTGTTAAATCTGGCGATGCTGACAGACTCGGGAATATATAAAAAAATACTAAAAAGTTGCAAGCAAATATTAACTTAAAGAGGGTAAATAAATTATATATAGTTTGTTTTTTTATGTTTTTGTCGTAGACCTTTGTCAGGCATTGATGGATCTAATTTACAAAAAAAGTATCGAAATAGATAATAAAGAAATCAATACTATTGCTCCATGTGGACTAAACCTTGTTTGTTTTTTATCTGCGTTCACACAGCGACCCTGGACGGAGGAGTCGGGCTGCTCCTCCCCATGCAGGAGAAGACGTATCGCCGTCTGCTGATGTTGCAGAATGCTCTGAACTCCATGCTGCCTCATCATGCTGGTCTCAACCCAAAAGCCTTCAGGTGCTCGTCACGCTTTAGAAACCACTGCTCAGTGTTTACAGGGATGCAAAGGGGGTTGAGCTGTGTGATGAACCTTTTGTATCTTCCAGAATGCTGCAGAGCGACAGACGAACGCTGCAGAACGCTGTGAGAAACATCCTGGATGGAGAACTCCTCAACAAGTACCTATACCTCAGTGCGATGGAGCGCAGCGAGCTGGCCAAGAAGATCGGCACCACTCAAGACATCGTGAGTGTGCATTAACGGGAGAGAGGATGTCAGTGAGGTCGCTTCTCTTGTTCCAACTCTCCTTCTCGTTTCCTCCCTCCCTAGATCCTGGATGACCTTCTGGAGGTGGACAGAGTAACGGCTCATTTCTGAGATTCACATTCCTACGCCTCATCTGCTGAACGCCGTTTTATATTGAATGGAGAAAACGTTTTGTTACGGCCATCTTTGTGCAAACCTGATTTGTTTTTCTTACTTGTTGGACCCCCCAAAAAAAAAAAAGGGCAGCCATGTTTTCTTAGGATATTTTGTATAAAAAAAAATTAAAACCAGTACTGTGAAAGTAATTTACACAAGGCTCGTGTGTGTTTATTGAGCTGGAAAGACAATGATGCCTTAAAGAAGGAGGTAGAACATTTTATTTACATTGTTAAAATAATTTAACATTTGGTTCGCTGGCACTGGACTGAGTGGACTCAGAAGAAAAGAAGCCAAACCACCAACAGCGAAGCTTCCATCCGTGTAACACAGAACACAAACTGTTAATCAGACAATGATGAACATAAACCTATAATCTGTATTGCCGTCATCAAAGCTGCGGTTTCTCACATAGTTGAGCTGCAGCTTAACATCGTCTTGTGTAGCTTGTTGTTCTTCCGCTTAACTCAGAATACATCGACTGCTGAATAGTTCTTTAAACATAATCTGCAGTTTAAAATGTTTCAATTGCTATGATTACACAAAAACAAAATTTAAAGTACACCAAAAATATGATTGAATTCAAAGCCTTACGATGGGCTGTAAAGTTCTGGCCTCTGGGAGGCCTCACTACAGCGGGTTTGGGTCTTCACAGTGCTGCAGTCCAGTCTGACACCAGAGTCCCGGCTGATTTGGTGTTGAATCCGCGTGACCATTACTAGCAGCATTTAGAGCTGCTACAGTAGTGGAAATAACTCATTGCTGTTGGATCAACTTGTGCTTGGAATAGTTCCTTCGTAGAGAGACGTCTGCGCACTACCTCAGGTACTCGTACACGTCTGCGTCCAGAGATACGAGACCGACGTAGGACAGCAGGCCCAGGAAGGAGCGCGTCAGACTCATCGCTGCCATCTCCCACCTGTAGAGTCACATCGTTCACATCTGGCGGCTCACAATCACGGAACACGATTTTCATCATTGATGAAACTAAAACGATTCTTTACCTTAAAGCCAGTTCGAACTTAAGGCCCTCCCATGTCGTCCTCACCCAGCGGAAGACCCAGAGCCTGGGCAGCACCCCCGTCCTCGCTGCCTGGATGTTCCCCCAGCCTCGCACCGCACTAGAGGACAAGAGGGACCAAGATGCTTGAGACACTCAGCAACACAACCATTACCGAAGAATAAACAATGCAAGTTAAGGGGCTTAGAGTCCAATCAGCTGACAGTCTTTATCTGCAGGGCTGCAGCCAGGATTTAAAACTAAAATAAAAAAAGCTACGGTTTGTTAGTTTGCCCAGTGTTGGGAAACTTCATGTCTGAACATGACGGTCTATATTTAGTTTCTCCACGCTGGATAAATGCTGATAGCTGATTAACCTACTGCATAATGACTGTTGGAAGCAGCTTGGTGAGTTTAGAACACCGTTAAAATTGGCAACACTTACTGAGCAAACAACAGAAGACAAAGGGCCTGTTAAAATGTAACTTAAATGGCTGTCTCTTTCTTTTCAATGACATCCTAAAAGGACACCAAGTCCTACAAGTTGAAAACATTAACATGTAGCAAAGTCTTCATCAGCTGTGTCCCAATCCAGCGGCGGTCCCATTTCAAAGACTCCAAATGCAGCCTTCTTCTCCCAGATAGACACAGCCGATGGATCCTTCGCGGCCCAACATATCCCAAGATGCATTGCGTGCCGATGAAGATTGTGATTTTTAAAAAAATCGACACTGACCTCTTGGCCATGACAAAGTAGCGGTCCACCGGCGCTCCCAGGCTGATGTTGATGCTTCGGACCGTGTTGATGTTCCGGAACACGAGCAGCATGGGCCGGGGCATCGACTTCAGCACGCGCATGATGCTGTCGAAGCGCTCGCTGGCCATCTCGCGCATGTAGGTCGTCTCCTCTCGGCTCAGGATGTTGGACAGACCCAGCTCACGCATGTTGATGGGCCGCTGCAGCAGCATCTCGCAGAAGAGGAAGTACTCTGCACAGCAAGTTAGATATGAAATGTAAATAAATAGTTTTCTAACAAAAAAAAAAAAAGTTTGTTAGATTTTAATAGCCAAACAGATGTCCGCTCACCTTTGACACCAAGTGCTTTGGAGTGCTCCTCCATTGCTGCCTCGTCTCTCAGGACTACGGACCGCCACAGTTTACAGAGTGCCACTCGGTCACTAAAGGTATAAAAAGGTTAGAGTTCAAGCTCGTGGCTAAATATTCTCAGGTCGTCATACGGCAGAGACCAATCTTACCGCTGGCTGAGGTGTTCGTACAAGCCGTGGTCCAAGAGAACCAACTGTGCCTTGTTGTCAGGACCTCGTCTCACTAGAACTGCAAACAAAGAATTCATCACACACACACACACACACACACACACACACACACACACACACACACACGATGAGGATTCCCTTAAATTAGTGTGAAGTTATTGTGACAGATTTAAACTGAGCAGGATTTTTCACAGTTGAACAGTTATCTCGTCAGTGCTCTCTGGTGGACAAACTATAGAATAGCAGTTTCTTAATTACCGTTGAACATATTTTTAGGATTTCTGTAATTATGTATTTATGTATTCACCGACCTAAATACCGCCACTGATGAGCAATAAGCTAATATTAGCTAATCCGATATTGCTTGTGCTCTTCTAGAAAGCGAGAGATTGACGACCCAGAGGTGTTGCAGTTCATACAAGACTGACAGAAAACACAAAAGCACTAGCGGCTGCTGCTGAATACGAGTAATGATCTTCTCTGTCGTGGTCCAACGCGTGCATACAGACACGTGCTCGATGAACTCACCGTTTCCCGGATGCGGGTCGGCGTGGATGAAACCGGTGTAGAATATTTGCTCGGCAAATGTTCGGATCAGCTTATCTGCGGCCTGCAAAGCAAACATTTGATGAGGCGTTTTTAAAAGCTGGCCTTTCAACGGTAACACTCCACTCTGAACATCAGCTGCCGTGTCGAGTGCATCAACTCACATCTTTCAAACTCAACCCTTGTCTTTTAATTTCTTCCACGTCGTTGATTTTGCAGCCGTCGCAGAACTCTGCCGTCATCACTCTCTTTGAATTGGAGAGGAGAAAAGGTTTAGCCAAGGAAACGGTTGGACATCTAGTTATTTTCTACCACTGACGATGATCTCACCTTACTGGTTTGCTCCCAGAACACTTTGGGTACGACAACAAAACTGAAGTGTTTCAGCTCCTCCGCGCACCTCTCTGAATTCTTGGCCTCGTTCTCAAAATCCAGCTCTTGACCCAATGTTCCCTTCAAGTCCTAGATGAAGTAGAATAGAATCAATAACAGGCCAAACAGATATACATGTATATGGTATATACATATACATATGGTTAATAAGGAAATACAACTGCTTCCTGACCTTAAGAACCCATCGGAATCCAAAGGTGGGGTGCATGAACTTCACGACATCCAGCAGGATCTCCAATGTTCTGATATCGCCGTCAAACCGATCCCTGAGGTCAATGTACTGCACCTGTGGGCAACAGAATAAAAACAGTTTGGATTGTCCACCTCCCAAAAATAGCAAGATGGGGGACCTTCTTTTCATGTAGGAGAGGATGCTAAAGCGTGTAGCGTTACTCGTTCAGAATGGTCCGATTCTGCTCTCTACACTCTGTGCGATCTCTTCCATGTGACCGTTTTACCGTCTGTGCCTGAGAGTAACTCGGCGCTCACCTTCACGGCGACGGGGGTCCCGTCAAACAGCTCCGCCTTATGAACCTGGGCCAAGCTGGCAGCAGCGATGGGCTCATAGTCGAACTCTTTAAAAAGCTGCTTCGGGGTTTTGTTGAAGTCTTCCTGGAAGAGAGCATCCACCTAGAGCAGACACAATGCTGAGACATTTCAGGCCGTCCCCCCCTTTTCATTTACTGAACCACGTGTCTTTGTTAGCGCTGCAGTTCTCACCTCTTTGTACCTCCGGTTCAGGGCCTTGTCTTCCAGTATTTGCAGGGTGCGGATGTACTCTGGGGGCAGCAGGTGGTTGAAGGAACACAGACCTTGGCCGAGTTTGATGTATATTCCTCCGTTGCTCAGGGCTCCTCCCACCATGCACTCGGCTGCCCGTTGGTGGCAGGCCGACATCTTGGCCAGGTAGGATGGGCTGCTCTAGCAGGGGAGGACAGCAGCAAGACATGACTCTCTAGTGTATTGTTTGTGTGGCATTTTTTCCCGTGGACAGATATGGGTTGAGGATGCGTTACGCGACCTCGTAGACACCAGTCATCTTTCTCTCTAAGCCTTCATCTGTGTTCTGTATTGTGATACCTCAGAAACCACTGAGGAGTGCAAGTAATTATTGCCGTGACTGGTTTTTTTCTTTGAGATCACCTGCTCAGACAGAACCTATTTCTGTATTTGAGAACTTACCTCATCTTGGCCGCGAAGAGCCACGTTAGTGGTCCACCAGTAATCCCCAGAGATCACGATTCCCACAGAGAGACATCTGAGGACACACAGACGAAGAGGGTCGATGGGACTTCAACGTGACATGAACAAGAATGTGAGTGGCTCATAATGTCACATGTGGTAACATCTCCAGGAGAAAACGACCAGCATTAAAGTGAGACTATGTTTGAAAGACGAAACATGTTCCTCCTACAAATATAAATCTCATAAGGTCGAGTAGCTTATGGTGGCTAATGTTAGCTAACTTTAAGTAGGATCGCTGACATCATGGAGTCATTTCAAGGGATGACTGCTGCAAAACTGTAACACGATGTCATCTGGGAACTGTCGCTTGTAGCCAGTGGTTGCTGTGCTGCAAAAGCCACGTAGTCTCACTTGAAACACGAGTAGGACCGGTTTACGGGTTTCATCTCACACCTGCAGAAGCGACCAAATCCTTCAGTCAGAATCTTCATCCTCCTCCTGTCTCTGGGTTCGGACGCAGCATACCGGACCCCCACTGCCACGGGCACGCCGACAGACACGCCAACAAGTGTCTTCCATAACAGCCCCCGGCGCTTACCTTCCCTTAACGCAGGAAGAAAAAAATAAATTCATCAAAACAGAAACGTTACCGTGGGTAGAAGTTGATCTGCGACGATGGCCCGGCCGCTGTTCGTTACCTTAGTGAGCTGAAGGGTCTATTTCTTTGGAGCGATGCGGCGGGATGTGGGGGTCTTCGGAGCAGAGCCATGTGATGGAGACACAACCGTAACTAAAGAGGAAAACATACTGGTCATCTGATAACCAAGTGAACTCTTGACTTAACCATGGCTCATTGAATCTGGTGTTGGTTTTTTTTTTGCTGCTGGCAGTGTCACGTTCACCAAACCGTACCATCGAATGTAAAAAAAAAAAAAAGCCTGCAACAGTTGCATTTCGAAGGTCATTGGCTCGTAAATTAATATTGGATGAAGACGCACGGCTTATGCAATAGATGCACAGTATCAGAGTACACCATGATAAACCACAGTGAGCAGGCAGAAATGAAACAATGAAATGAAAAGTGCAAAAGTGCAAAGTGCAATAGCTGCAGATTTCCCAGTGGGCATGTCGGCAGCAACAGCGTTTCACTTTTGAGTTGTGACATTGTTGTTATAATCTGGGTGCACCCTTGTATTATTAAAAAAAACAAAGAACGGTTATAAAGGCTCCCTGCAGACTCCCATGGCTCTTTGTGCGTTTGTGATGGTCTTACTTCGCCAAAGCTGGACAGCAACTACTGATCACATCCGTCATCGGTTAATCTGCCGATCATTGCCTTGAATAATTGAGTAACAGTTTAGTCAATAAAATGCCAATAAATGTTGAAATATAGTCCAAAAAACAATATATATTCACTTTAGAGTATAACGCAGAGAAATCTCTCAATAACAAGCAGGAACTCACGTTTGACTTAATGAGCTGGTTTTTAAAAAAGTTGCCAGTTCCTTCTTCTTCATCGACTGACTAATTGATCGATCTGATATTCATGTACATACAGATCACGGTAGTGTGTGTGTGTGTGTGTGTTCTGGGAAGGAGGGGGGGGGTAGAGCAAGGCCAATACGACCAGCCGGGGTACTTTAGTTTGTTTTTGTTCGCTGTATACAGCGAAGGGACAAAATGTTTCCAGTGCTGACAAATTGATGTTGAGATTAGTTTATCTCAGGGACCTGAACACTGAAACATCAACAAACAGTCCGTCACTCACACACGGAGTGTTTGCGTCACCACAACAGTGAGCGGTTACGTCTCATCTGAGCCACACTAATATCACTTAAGAGTGTGCGCCAGTAACGTAGCTGATAATTGTGGATTTGTTTTAATATAGAGGCGCATCTTTGCTTTATGTTAAAATACGTAAAAACACAGCTGCACAATAGTAACGGAATATTGCGAAAGACTGTGACACAGTCCTTTGAATAACACCCACGTGTCCAGTGTGTCTTTTGCACAAACAAACAAATACAGCTTCTACTCTTAAACACGTTGCATCGGTTTGTTGATTTATGTTGCTTGCGTGAGCAGTAACGCTGGTGTTACAGTAACGCTGACGTTACAGTTAGGTTAGCGTTACAGTTAACGTGGCTGTTGTGCAACTAGCTAGCTAACTTTAGCTAATGCTACTATCAAACCAAGCGAAACAAAACATGATTGAATATCGTTGACTTACTGCTCGGGTGGTCTCTCTTGCCATGGTTCCTGGAATAATAAAACAGCTCTGCTCTCAGAGAGTACTTAACATCCAAAGTGCCCTTCCCTTCTGGGGCCACCTCCATAATCGACCGGCAGCTAGCATGCCAAAGAGTACGGACGAGAGTGGGAGGGGGCATTCCTCCTTACTCACTTCCGGTTTCGCTTTAATCCTGTTCATTAGACATCATTGGGGTCTTTATTTTGCTCATAGGTCGAACTATTTTCTCTCAAGTCTCAAATGTGAACGTGTCTCTGTGTCCTCGTGTCCTTGTGTCCCTGTGTCCTTGTGTCCTCTGTGTCCTCCTGTCTCTGTGTCCTCATGTCCTCATGTCTCTATGTCCTCATGTCTGGGTATTCACTCGACAAATTATTGCCTCTGTCCGTTTGAAGGCGCACAACAAGTGTTTGATGAAGTTTGTTAAATATCGCGCGTGGACCCGTGAGGGCAGATAGTCATCTTGATGTTGGACTCTCTGGTAGGAGGGACCGCTACGATACGATTATACGGATTGGTTCAAAGAATGCCCTTGTGTCCTCTAATTGGTATTCATTAAGTCTCCTCCATATGCCCAGACTTCACCTAAATAAGTTAATCACTGAAAGTAGCATATAGGACACAAGAACAATTAATAATTACATGGCTGTGATGTAGGTAAAGCAACCTGTACAGTATGATATTTTTCAAACTTGCCTCACTTCGGCAGATCCTAATCCATTTAAATGCACGTTTAAACATATATTGTAGTAAATGCTGCAGTCACAGAAAAATAACTGTAAGCTGATAGTGACAAGAGACAGGTTTAGTATTATTATATTTATGTTAAATCATGTACTTATAGGTCTCTGTGGGTTCAAAAGTTCTCATCTCAAAGTTTATTAAAAGTTGTAATAAAGACAAAACAAGTAAAGAGCTACGATGGCTTGAGTGGATTTTTGTCATTTTTAACAGATCGTGTTGGGATTTATCTTTATAATAGTTTATTGTATATATTGTTGTTTTGTTGTGCCTATTTCTGTCAATTGCAACATTTAGCCCGAACGAACCGGAAACGTGGATTGGCCTTCAAAAGAAAGGTTGTAACATTGTTAACTTACACAAAAAAGAAACAGATATGTGGGCAATCCAATACCCACAAAGAAATTCTCAAAATAATTACATACATAGATACATGTTAGTTCTTAAAACGTTTCAATAAACCACAAAACGCTTGTTTTTCATTTGCGTATTTTATTTTGAATAATTAGGAAACTTTGTTGAATGGGCTACCGGAAGCTGTAGCGACCCGTAGGTCGCTGCAGTGTTGCGCTTTTCCTGTTTACGGGCGGGAAGAGCGAACATAGCTGACTGGAAGGCGACTGTGTTTAAAATCGACAGCACGTTTTAGTTTTAAATTCTCCTCAATGCTCACGGTTTGCAGATTTTAAATGATACACGGGGCATTGGATACGTTTTAAGTGGGACCGTTGCTGGAAAACTATAGGGATATATTTTTGGAGAGTGCAGAACAGATGGAGGATCCTCCTGCAGATTCTGGTGGTGGTGGAGGTGGTGGTGGAGGAGCGGAGGGCCCCACGGTGCAGGTGGCAGATATCTGCTGGCCGAAGGGGGCTCTCCCTCTGCGGCTCCTGGAGTGGAAAGTCAAACCCGGGTCTCTGGTGAACCTGGACTCCGTGCTCGCTCTCTGCGCTCCCATACCCCCGGAGGAGAAGAAGAAGGGGGCACAGGCGGCCAGGCTGCCAGAGAGAAAGGTGAAGTCGGACCGTGCTGGAGTAGTCAAGGAGCTATGCTGTCAACTTGGGCAAGTCATACCTCCCGGGTAAGTCAGTCTGTTGAGAGGCTGCAGGTCCAACATGTCTGTTGTAGTGACCACCTGTAGTGTGACGCTAGCTAGCTAACGAGCTAACATTGCTATGCGTGCTAAGTAACGTTAGCTTGTTTGCTAGCAGTACCAGCATCAAGTCAGTCAACATAAACAAGCAAACGTTTTGCCAAAACTTTCAAAATAAATTAGTGTTGTTTTTAGATAGTTTGTCTCTGCACATTTCTAGTCGTTGCAGTTATAGTGGGCATGAAAACCAGCTGTAAGTAAACATTACATGCGGTCTTATTTGTCAGTTTGATAAAATCGCAATCACGCTTACAGCCAAAACATGTATACGCTTTTATTTTGAAGGCGTAATCACGTGAAGAAGTACGACGGGTAGTTTGACAGGTAGAGGACTGGCGCGAGGCAGCTGCTGTCCCATGTAGTTTGAACTGAATACCAGCATATGTACTATTCAGCATACCTTTTAAACATTCATCTGATATCAATTAACATTTTATATCTCTTGATTCAAAACTTTTGATGTCACGCCTGTGTAAAAAATAAGTGTTGCCTTCAGGTGCCCCTTGTAAATTTCTACTCCTGGCTGTGAAAGTCCCTGCTGCTTGTACAGTATAATAATAGTGTATAATATGTATAGTAAAATGAAAACAGTGTCAAAAGTGCCTGTCTGTGGTGTCTTAATTACAAAGCAAAGCAACTGTGTGCCAAGCTCTTCATTATTGTAAATTTGGACATTATTAGTTGACTTGATTTACAACTTGTTCTCAAAGTAAAATCATTTCCCTGTCACTCAAAGCAAATCGTTAACTTATAGTTTTAAGGCTCACGGCTAATCTATGATAAATCTAATCTAATAAACTGAATTTACACCAAGGCCTTTCATGCCATGAAGCAAATGTTCATATACTGAGAATCCTGCCAACAGACGGGACTATGGAATGCACTATCACTGGTTTATTGTAAAGTACGTATTTACACTAACATTTGTTGTCTTTTGTTCAGGGGTGTCGTCGTCCGAATAGAAGAATGCAGCCATCCAATAGTAATGAAGGGTTTATGTGCCGAGTGTGGCCAGGACCTGACTCAGTAAGGAAATCCAAAAACACAGCCACTTTTATTTTAATACCGAAACAGAAATATCTTTTCAATTTCATGTTCAATGTTCAGATAATATATGTTTTGCTCACACTATGACCCTCACAATGCACAGACCTGATTGCAAAAACATCTCTACCAAAAGAATGTAACATTTAATGCTTACATTTTCACACACGTCAGCTGACATTCAATTTTGAGCTGATTAATAATTGATCTTTTTAAGGATGTTATGTTCCTGTGCATCCAAACTAACTGTCTGTATCTGACCCAAAGTATTCGTGGTGGCTTCTGTATTATTTGATACCATCAGGTGGCACCAGAGATCACACAGAGAGAGTTGAATACAACTGAGGTCATAAATCAAGTGCTCCCACTCTGCTCTCTCCTGCTGTCCGTTAGATAAAGACGTAAACATGTGCAGCTGTCGCTTAGAGTCTGAGAGAAGCTGCATTTGTTGTTGTTGTTTTTATTGATGAAAAGAGCCAGTAGGCTGTTGACTGTGAGGGAAAAGTTGTTTTTGAACGTTTGCATTATACATTACACATGATGAGAATAACAGTGAAATATTTTACAGCAGGGATGACATGTTTTATATATTAATAGACAAACAATCAACCAAAACCACTTGCTAACTGTGCTCGCTGCTCTTAAATTGTTTGTGGAAGCCCCTATTCTATTCAGTCTCAATATGTTCAAGGACCTGAGAGATACTCAGACCACAAAATCCATCACACCCACTCTTTCTTCTTCTTCTTCTTCTTCTTCTTCTTCTTCTTCTTCTTCTTCTTCTTCTTCTTCTTCTCAGGCTGCAGGGCACGAATGGGAACCAGCAAACTCCCATCTCCACGGCAACCGTCTCCATGGTGCACAGTGTACCCGAGCTGATGGTCAGCTCGGAGGTGAGTCATGTGATGGAGATGCATATATACATCAAATGATTACACATTTCCTGGTGAATTTCAAGAATTTCCTGGTGAATTTCCTGGTGGAAAGTCTTGTTACAGTATTCAGAACACGCAACTGTCAGCTGAAACAAACGATAACAACATAGTCATGGATGAGAGTCTGTTCAAGTCTCAGTTTGTATCGATGTCAAGTTTAAAATATGCAGTTAATACGTCAACAAACACCTGAACATATTGTACCATATCTAAGGTGGATGTGTAGGATTGCTCATTATCTCGTTAACCCCTATGCTCCAGGACTAGTTCCATTTAACTAAATACAAATGTTTAGGCAATTACATGCAGCTTGCTACCCAGACCAGGTCACACACGCGCACACACACACACACACGCGTTCACCACAAAGCTTAAAAAGATCAACAGATGGAAGCTGAAACAATGCGTGACATTCTGGTAACACACGCTTTGTTAATAGTGGTGTGGTGGTTGCTCATTCATTGTCTTCAATCACTCCCAAAAAGCAAGCAGAACAGCTGGGCAGAGAAGACCAGCAGAGACTCCACCGGAACAAGAAGCTGGTCCTGATGGTGGATCTGGACCAGACGCTGATCCACACCACTGAACAGCACTGCCAGCGTATGTCCAATAAGGTATTCCTCAGTCACGCCGCTCTTCTGTACTGTCTTCACTGTGATGGAGAGGGCACAGAGGCTCGACCTTTATGCTCCTAACTTTGTAAAATATAAAGTTCTATTTATTTCATTCATGTTTCATGTGAACAACTGGGTGCAACAATGTAAACGCCTTCCAGGAGAGTCGATGTCGTCCCCGTATTTAAAGTTTTGTGTCGTTCCCTGTCTATGACAAAACATAAAGATTTTGGTTTCAAGAGCTACATCACTTTAATGGCAAAGCCTCAATAGAAATGAATGTCATGCTGTAAATTGCACGCTTTTGGGTCACTCTCCATTTATCATTTATCAACAAGACTACTACTTTGTGTTGACAGTTTTCAGCCTGTCAGCAGTATTTTAACCGAAGTTTGTATTCAAAATCTTCCTTTTAAGAGCAGACGTTGAGGCATTGCGTCATAGTTAACACTTTGTTTTGTTTTTTTTTATATTCCCTTCAGGGTATTTTCCACTTCCAGCTCGGGCGAGGAGAGCCGATGCTCCACACACGACTGCGCCCACACTGCAAGGCTTTCCTGGAAAAAATTGCCAAACTCTATGAGTTGCACGTCTTCACGTTCGGGAGCCGCCTTTATGCACACACCATTGCTGGTAATGGACTCTTTTTCTTTTACATTTTAACGAACATTGTCAGCGCCGGTTACATGAATCCACAGTTTCATTGGTATGGAAATGTGACAGTTTGGTCTTTTACTTGTACTGCCCTTCGCTGTCCATAAGAGGGAAGTGTCCGCTCATGTTTTGAGCTGACTTTATGCTGGATCACTGTTGGGCATCTAAAGTCTCTGTGTGTCATCTGCAAGCACTTTGAACCACTTTAAAATGTAGCAGTGGTGCTGCTCTTTAAAATGCATGTTAACACTTTGGCTGGTAACAAGGTACGCAAGACAACCTGTCCTATTCCTAGTCTGTTCTAGTTTTAGCAGCATATATCTGGCAGCTGACTAATGTTGGTTTCCTTCTAGATGAAAATATTCCGGTTTATGATTTAAGGCTGGATTATATTGTAGTGAAGGTAGTTTGTTTATATGCTGTCTTTTTGGTATTCAGGGTGCACTCCTTCACTCCTTAACTGTATTTAATAGAAGCAGCCTTGGCCCAGCACTGTTCTGCCTCCACATAATGAATGTTTAATGCATTTTGAATTGGATTGCACGACTGGCATTGTTCAGGCCAGTTTTCCAGCTGTTGACAACTTCTTTTGCGATTATAGACCAGGCTGTTCTAAAAATGGGCAACGGGGTGGAGTTGAGTCGGGCCACCTTTCACTCGGAAGTGCCCTCATTCGTGCCTATATTTGAGCCTTAATATGATTTCAATAGGTTTTGAACAGTTATATTAAATACCACATCCTGTACAGTTGTCCTGAACAGAGGAATTAGCTTTTGAGACTAAACCGGTTCTTTGTACCAGGCTGTAAACATGTTTAAATAAAGCATTTTAACATGGGGCTCGATGGGGATTGACTCGCTTTTGGTGCCAGCCTCGAGTTGCCATTTCTCAGCTCTTCCCCGTTGGCTTCATTTCTCAGCGCTGACGGTTGCTGCTTGGGTTAAAGGAGCTGCAGGTCTCTATCCACAGCCGAGGCCGAATCAGTCTGCGTGCTTCTTTAGACACGGCGATGAAAAGCCTGAGAATGTTTTCGATGCTGGGGGAAAGGTAGTGGCAAAGTTAACACGGGAGGGAAGGCTTTTCTCTTCATGAGAGGGTGGTTTTGTTAATGTGTCGTGGAAATAAAACAGCATGTTTTGTTGCAGGCGCTGTAGAATTTGTATCTTTGCAATAGAAATGAAATACCCACTGTGACCTTGGAGAGGAAGATTGCAGATACCGTTGAATGTGCACTCACCTTTTCTTCATATCGCCCCTCAATCTTCCCTTTTTTTAGGCTTTCTGGATCCTGAAAAGAAGCTGTTCTCTCATCGGATCCTTTCCAGAGATGAATGCATCGACCCTTTCTCCAAGACGGGGAATCTTAGGTACTAAATGAATTTGCTGTGTCATCTGTTAAAGCACAAAGAGGCTCTAAAGCTCACAGCATGTCTCGTTCGGTGACGATGGAACAGTTGGTGGATGATCCACACCGCTTGTTGGCAGCAGTGACTTTATCCAAATTGTTTCCTCGCTTCTGTAATCGTTATCGTGGACATTCTGTCCATATTGTCAGTGATTGTTGCCGAGCACAAAGAGTAGAGATCTATTATTCTCTCTCAGTGTTGCTGCCTGCAGAACTGCTGTCTATGACATCTTGCAAATAAAATAACGAAAAATGGTGCCGATGGTGTAAGAAATATTGAAGTGGCTCTTATTTTGATTCATAGCTAAACACAGTCTCGGTCACTACAGCCACAGAGCGTTAAATAACCGCCTCGCCGTGTTCATCTGGATTCAGTTTGTGCTGTGATCTTCCTGACAGGAATCTGTTCCCGTGTGGCGACTCCATGGTCTCCATAATCGACGACCGAGAGGACGTGTGGAAGTTTGCGCCTAACCTCATCACCGTGAAGAAATACATCTACTTCCAGGGCACGGGGGACATCAACGCTCCGCCCGGATCACGGGAAGCTCAGATGGCAAAGAAAGGTACAGTGTTCACTCGTCTTTGAGTGCTTTCACACCTGTAGTGAGGTTCATTTGGTCCGGGAACAAGGGGAATAAAATATATGCTTCAATGCATTTTAGTTCTGGTCCGGTTCCTGTTCACACTGCCTCTTTGGTTTTTCTTCTTTTAAACAAACCCAGAGGAGCAAACATGAAGCTACACAGACTTGCGGATAACTTTTTAAACTACTTTTGGCAAATGTCATCTTGCAAATGAATTCCATTGGCTGACAGAAGTTTGTGCAGCACTTCAATGCTTCTGATCTCTGTATTTATGTTCTTTGGTGTCACAAAAAGCTAATGAAGAAATAACTCGTCATAAGCATCATTAATATTATTAGACTGCAAATCGACCGTGTGTCATGATGACTAACGGGGGGAGAGAGGCAGAACTGTACAAAAGTGTGCATGAGGCGTCTACACAGGCGTTGAGGCGTTCTAATGGACTTAATGAACTGACAAAGTAGTCTGATGCAAGCACAGCAGTTTTAACTGCATCCTTTCAGATCCGTTCGGTTGTTGGTCTTCGCCACGATTTCGATTGACGGCTTTCACATCGTTAAAGTGGACCACACGGGTTCGCAACCTTTTGAAAACATGATGCATTTGTTGAAAGTCCCTTTGAGGACAAAGTTTCTGACGGTTTATGCAACACTGAGTAGAACCAGTACTTCCAGTACTATGCACACTTCCCTGTGAGAGGCACTTTTAGCTGAAGTTAACAAGCAAGTCGGTCCAGTGGCTTCGCTGATCTCTTATGCTGAACGTTACAGAGGCACAGAGTTTACTTTATCTCACTGACATTGAGACATTGCAATAGGAAGAGGGATTCTGAGGACACTGTTGGAAGATTCAATGCAATTTATGAAGTTTTAATTGGTGATGCATTGGGGCCTTGTTTATTGCCTCAGTGCTGTTAAAAATTTGATTTGGAGAACACTCATAATTTAAGTCCCACTTGGATATCGGATATTATTTATTTCGATTGTGATGTAAAATATCCTTATTAATGTTAGCTACCATGTGAGTGAATATGGCCTGAATATCTGGTTGACGCTTCGGATTTCTTTTGGACATTTATGTATGTACAAATTATATATTATATAAATTAGGGATCTTAGTAATTAACTCTTAACTGACAATAATAATTAAAGAAACGGTTAAAAGAAATATTGAAAATTTAAGAACGCTGAAAGGAGAATAGCTGGACCACCTTAAAGTCTGTGTGAGTCTGAGCTGGATTTGTTGCTAATTTCGGGGCTAACCCTCTTAACTTAAACCAGCTGGTGGCAAACATGATACAAGAGCTTGTCTTTGGTCCTAAAGAGTTGTAGCATTCATAAACTGTGTACTCCTACTGCGCTGCCGAGTTCACAGGTGTAACGTTACTACAACGCTAAACTATATGGTGCGGTGCACACTTACTGGGAAAGTGGCTGCATGTTTCCAGGACGGTGCACACGACACTGTAACGCCCACACTGCAGCTGCTGGTAAATGATGGATTTAACGTGTTAGTGCATCGGCTTGTGAGGCTCTTCAACCACAGCACTCCTGCATGCAAGGCAGTGGCACTAATCGCAGTCTTCCTGAGTTTACATGATGAGCCTCCACACCTCTATCCACCAAACTCCTCCTGAATCACACGTACCTGTCGATAAACACGGACAGACCTTTCCCCTCTGTACGTCCCTCTGCGCTGAACTCACAGTGTGATTCTCTTCATTATCATCGCAGGAAACGAGCCGCTTGGAGCCAGCCAGTGTGTCTTCGTGGGGACTTTTGTAGGAGCCCTTCATTTACACCCACTCTCAGGCTGTTACATCAGTAACTGATAACTCGTGGTTGTACTCATCCCATGTAACAACAATCTGCCTGGCTCAGCAATGTTGTTGATGCACTGAAAAGAGACTGGAGGGTTGGTCATGTGGTTAAAACACCAGCTTCAATTTGCCCAAAGCTGATTTTGTCCAATGCAAATACAAACTGCTGGAATATGACGTGTTTTACCTCTCTCGCTGCTTTGTAAGTCAAATAGTTTAAGTTAACATGTTCTAGTAATCTCTGTCGCATGACCAACACATTTACATAAAGGATTTGACTAAATCAGCAATTCTCTTGATGACAGCTACTGTATTTTTTTTTTACTGTATTTGTATTTCTAAAACAAATACATTATGAAATAAAAAACAGTCTCCATTGGGGTGTGGAGTTTGTAAATTAAGACATAATATACATTTTGAAGTAATTAATGATTTTTGTTCAGGAAGTGAAGCATCTTTCAAAACAAAGCAGGATTAGGAAGGCGCTTCATTCTAAAAAAGCTTATTTTATAAATGCATTATTGAAGTATTTTATTTTGTGGCCACACTAGTGCAGCACAAGAGGCTGTAAACACAATATTGACTTATGAAAAGTTGAGGGCAGCGAGTGAATCAAAACTGTGTCCACTGGCCCCTATCTGCTCTTGTGTGTCCTGCCTCCTCAGATTATCTAGCTACCCTCTCCTGTCCATCCAGCCCTGTGGTACCAAATGATATAGCACACTTATTATCACTGATGGAAGTGTCTGTTATGCAGACTTAACTGTTTCTATCGCATCTATAAATGAGAGGATACTCCAAAAAAGCAGTTTTTTTCAGGTTTGCCTGTCTCAGTACCAGTGTCTTGTGGATGACTCTGTTGTCGACAGGCTGCCACTTGAGAGTTTTATTTCACGCTCAAATAGAGTCACTTGCACTGGAGTGACTCCGTGTACCCAGAGGACTCTACAGCAAGAGTCGTCTGCCAAACACGGGCAGCCAGAGCAGCTCAAATCTGAGTTGTTACTTTGGTAGAATGCACTCGAGTGAAATGTTAGGAAGGTTATCATGAAGAGGGCTCTAATCACAAGCTCACAGACCTCCCCGAATGCATTAGTGCCAAGCACATGATAAAAAGGGCCACAACGGTCACTGCTAGTGAGGTTTTATTGTGTCAAATGGTTTATGAAATCTAAACCAAACTGTGCTGCACACTTCATGTCAGGTCGTTTAAAAGATCCCGATGTAAAATGACTTAATTGTCTCCAGAATCCAGGTTTATGGTGTCTGCTGCTTCTGTTTTTCTTTGCACTAGAACTGAGCTACCATGCTGTACCAAACAATTACCATTTACTGGTGAAGTATCTTGTATCTGCAGCTGTCCATACTTCTACCTCACCTATTGGTTTGCGTGATTGCTTTGTCTTGTTCCAGCAGGAGGCCCGTCGAGTCGACCAGCAGAGAGCACAGAACCGGTAGTGACGCCGAACGCCGATGAGCAAAATAATGGCCCCAGGAAAAAGGCGAAAGACCCCAGCTTTTCTGGGAAGGAGGAGTCCACGACATCTCCGTCTTCTCAGGGAGTACCAGCGAATGAACGGACGCACCCCACAGGGGCCGTGGAGGATGAATCGGGACAAGGTAAAGGGTCAGAGACCGAGGCGGAGTCTGGGGCGCCGTCGAGGGAAACTCAGGTGGGCGACGGTAAGAATGTTAAGGAAGAAGATAGCAACAGGACACTGGTGACACAAGAGGCGCAGGATGGTGCAAACTCCTCGGCACCGAGCCACGAGCCCAACAACCTCGACTTTGATCTTTCTAGTGACAGTGACAATGACTCCATTACAGAAAAGCCTCCCTCATCAGAGAGCGATAGTGAAGCCAAGTCGTGCCGGGCAAAGAAATCGGGGCAGGAAGGAGTCGCACCTGGCGATGGGGAAGGGGACAGCAAATGCCGGGGTGAAGGGGAAACCAGCGCTGACACAGCAGAACCGTCAGAAGTTCTCCTCCCAGACCCCGAGCTGGGAAACGGCTGCTCAGACCGGAGAGAGCCAGAAACGGAGTCGCAGAATAGCGAACAATCCGGGGTCACCATGGGGGAGGAGCTGCTGGACCAGAGCATGGAGGAGGAGGAAGAGGAGGAGGATGAGGAGGATGAAGCCGATATCGACCAGGATGATCACCTGATCTACCTGGAGGAAGTGCTGGAAAGGATCCACGCCGAGTACTACGCACGCTACGAGGCCTACCTGAGGAAGGAGGCTCCCGAGACGCCAGACATGCGCAAGATTTCACCGGAGCTGAAAAGCAAGACGCTGGCGGGCACCACGATAGTGTTCAGCGGCCTGTACCCGACCAACTACCCCATGGAGAGGACCCGCGAGTACTACCACGCCAAAGCACTGGGGGCCAAGATCGGCAAGCATCTGGTTCTTAACTCCCAAGATGCCGATCAGACAACGCATCTCATCGCAGCAAGAGCCGGTACGTAGAAATGTATGTATGCTGTTAAACATACATGCAGTAGTAGCATTATCTGTTCTATTTGATAATGAATTGGTCTTTTCAAGGTATTATTCTCAAACATAGTTTTATAAAATCTGTTTTAAACACAAGTTCCTTTCAGAGCCCGACTGATGGATTTTGAGGACTTTTCAGAGTCACCTTTAGTACTTCTTTCTGACCGGAGTATTTTCATTTTTGTTCCTTTTACTGAACATAGTTGAGGGTTTTTTTTAATAGCCGTTTGCTGGAACTTTTTTGTAATTAATGCAAGTTATGGTTTGCTAATGAGGCTAGAATTCAAGAAGGGTCATGTTAGGATTGTTTAAATGTCAGATATACTGACATATTGGCAGGTTTGTGTGTCTCAGTCCTTGTTAAAATAAGCAGAGATAATTGAGATGGAATACACTGTCATAAGGTCAGCCATTCCAGTAGTGATTGCATTTCACTTTCTTGGAGTCAAGAAAAAGTCATAATCTATTAATAAGAGAAGTCACAGGCCTGTTTAAAGGTGAAGGCTCTATCTGTCTCTGTGCCTCTCACCCGTGGGCATGTTTGGAAGTTCTCCTGCTCACTGGTGGCCAACAATGAATGAATGCAGCTTTAAATAATAACGCTCACAATATATTTACGCAGAGTTCCTTGAGGCTGCTGCGTCTCTGTAATTAGACCCGCTTGATTGACGGAAGCACAGCTCACTGCATTTCTGACATTCGATTACCATTTGAAGGCTGGAGGCTGTTTGTGTTTCTCTCCCCCATGGGTGTAATCTGCGGAGGCTAGTTTTGCATTTTCAGGCTAAGATTATGCAGAAGTGATGTACTGACTTGATAGACAAACCTGTTTGTTGCAAAATGTCCTGTTTTGCTGTTTTGATATGGTACGGATGACGTTGTTTTAAGCGCTGCAGTCATACTCCTTCTGGTAGTTCGCAAGTTACAATCAATACAACTGAGGACTCATCCCCATGACACTGAAAATGTCAAAGCGGCTTCTCGCCTGCGATTCTGTCTGAAGAGCAGCAGAAAGCGGATTCACGCCGGTATTGCTACCAAATCCAGTTTACCTTCTGCAAAACAAGCACATGAGGTGGCCCCGTTGCCTCGGCTCTTTGCTGTGAGCAGCACTCGGCAATCACTCGTCTTGTGCGTCAGACGGAGAGAAAAATCAGCCGCAGATGGAAGCGGGGTCAATACGAGCAGTAGGTCGGTTAATGTGGAAGGAGCTGCTGAGAAGCAGCACGTTTGACACATATTTCTCTTAAAAACTCTCCGATTTATATGTTCGCTTTGCTGTTATATCTTTCACAATGTATTCATACGATGAGTTGTTACAGATGTAAGAAGGCTTTTTTAAAAAGCTGCTGCCTTGAATTTAGGTGGTGGACGATATGGCTTTTAAATGATTTCATATTTCAGGGTGTACAGTTAGTGTTACTGCTATTATTACTGCACAATACTATAGCGTTGATAGAGAATGGCAGGTACATTTTTTTTTTTTTCATCTACCAGCCAGATTGGCCGGTAAGACAAAAGGTTAATTTTGGACCGTGTATGTAATCGTGTAAAAACAACCTTGTTTCAATTCATTCAATTTAGTGCCTTTGTCTCAAACATCAATGAGACTCATTCAAGCAGAAACACTACTCTCTGTGGATTTAACCAAACACGACACGGCTCTCTGGATTCCTAAGAACACTATTGAGTTGGCTGAAAAGTGAAAAGAAAGTGACTCCAAAAGAGACGTTTTCCTTGTTATCTTTCCAATAATATTGACCGGGCAATTATTTTGTGTGTGTGTGTGTGTGTGTGTATATGTGTGTGTGTGTGTTGTTTTGGTAATTGATTGTCAGGTCGAAACCTGTTCTCATTTTCCTCTTTCCTTCCTGTCACCCAGGCACCGAGAAGGTCCGTCAGGCTCAAGGCTGCAAGCACCTCTATGTTGTGAACCCCGACTGGCTGTGGAGCTGTCTGGAGCGCTGGGAGAGGGTGGAGGAGCAGCTGTACCCGCTGAAGGAGGACTGCTCCAAGATGCCACGGTAAAGGACTCAAAATGAGCCTGTGGTCTTACAGACCACTTCAAACCCAGTACACATGAACTGATGACCTGGAAAATACTTCAATAATGCATCAAAATCTGATATATATATTTTTTTTTTCTTCTTGTCTGTTCAAGGAGCAACAGTCCGGCAGCATTCCCTGACATTCAGGGTTCCCTGCAGGCGCACGTTTTCCACCCGGCTCCCATCCACCACAGACCTCTGCCTCCAGCCCCTGAGGTTCGAACCTACGACCCCGTCACGGGTAAGCTGATCCGCAGGGGCCCTCAGGTGCCACGGCCGCCGTCCTACCTCCAGGCCCCGGGGCCTCACGGAGATCAGTCTTGTCTCAGGTAAGGAACAGAAGTGGAACCGTGCAATAAAATTATAAGATACCGATATACAACTTTCTTTTTCGGCAGGCAAACCGCAGGATTTTTTGAAATAATGACACCATTTTCAGTTTGATAGTAAATGCTCACGTCTTTCAAACTTCGCTTGTAGTCTTCAAGCCCGAGCTGAGATGACCCGGATGACATAACGGAGCTCCTCTGGAGCCACATAAGACGTTACACAACAGTCTTCACAGGCGGAGGGGTGCTCCTCAGTAGTGTTGTCACGATACTTGACACAACATTGAGGGCACGCAATTTTAGATCCTTATTAAAAGATAAATAGCAGCGTGTTTGTCAACTCGCTGTCGCAGGGAAGAGAGAACAGAAAGTGCAGCTGGTTCCCGTGTGTGTGTGTGTGTGTGTGTGTGTGTGTGTGTGTGTGTGTGTG